TGCTCTCTCACTTGTGCAGATCCCCATAATCACCAAAATGTAGAGAGCTTCATCCACACAGCTTCCTTCACCGCCCCCTGGGCCAGGCCACCGCCTCCGCCGTGGACTCTGAGCATCAGTGTCCCTTACACAGCACAGTCCACGAGGTCCAGGCCAGTCTGCAGGGCTCACAGCTGGAATGGCAGTCTGCTCTGCTCTCCTGCCAAGCCCTGCCCAAAGCACAGGAGCATCAGGGCTGAGGAGATGATCGTCCACCACGGAACAATGTGAAGCGTGAGCAGCTAAAGGTTTTACGAAAGCTAGATTGTGTGCTCTGATGTGGGCACTAGCCTTGCACAAATTAGCCAGGCGTGTAGCTGAGCCATCTGCTAATTGCCTGGGCATATTTTTTAAGAAATTAGAAATGAGGCTCCCAAGTGATAGTGACTCATTACATTCCTCCAGCCACTTATGAGGCATCCAGCTGCCGGAGCATCACCATGGTACGAGACCATCACCTCGCGCATAGCGCCCGCTGAGACACATGTGGACCGGCATCCCGCTGTGCTTAGTGCAGTGACGCTGGCAGTGCCTCCAGGTGCCCTCCACTTTTATTTGATGACCCCGGACATTCTTTCATGTCTTGATAGCTCATCCATGTCCCCCATCGGTTAGATGTCTGTGTCTCTACCAATTTTCAAATCTGACTTCTTGTTCCATTTCAAGCTTGGGAATTCCTTACCCACTTTCTGAATCCCTTTCCAGGAGCATTATTTAGGAAGGCTTTCTCCCACTCAGTGATGAACTCTCAATCCACTTAACCAGGTCCTCAGCACAGCAAGCAGTTTAATTCTGATGAGGTACAATTTGTCAACTTGTTTTTATTTTTCTCTATCTGTTGTGCATCTGTTCTCTTGTATTAGAATGCTTTGCTCTGCTCTGCTACCTAAAAATATTCTTAATGTTACCTTCGGAACAATTCATGGGTTCATATTTTGCATGCAAACACATGATCTGTTGAGTTAGCTTTGTAGAAGGTGTGAAGTTCGCACTGAATTCGTTGTTTGCCTGTGGTCACCAAGTACTCTGCACTGTTTATTAAAAAGATCCCTTCCCACAAGCACCTTTTGAAACTCAGCCAACTCAGTGGGCAGCACTCCTCCCAAAGGCTCCATGTCACCATTCTTGGCCAATTTATGTGAGACAGGAGCTCGTTAAAACTTGCTTAGCCTCAGTCCTTCCTAAAGGTTGGATCTGAGACAACAATGTCTTCTCCGTCACTATCCCCTGGTGCTTGTTTCTCAAGATAGCTGAAAGCCAATATCAGCAGCTGGCTTGACTCACTGCATTCCGATCATGAAGGGCTCCCACTCCCTGGCCATCCTCTCTGGGAAGGTGTAGATCCGCTAGGAGACAGGGGAGAGGTAATGAGATAGGACATGGGGTTCTGCCCTCTATGAGCCATTTGTTTTATTACATAATATTTTGCATGAATAAAAACTA